GCGAAGTCTTCTCTACGTTTATTGTAACAAATACTTGTCCCACTCACACCGAGATACCAACCATGGAATCTGTACAGGTGACTGAGGAAACTGTCCTTCCGTTGATAACTAACCTGAGACCTGGTAAGACACCGGGCCCTGACGGGTTACATCCACGGTTGCTGTCATCTCTTGCGGACATTATTTCAAAACCGCTTGCGACACTCTTCAACATGTCCATTTCACTCGCTCAACACCCTAGAGATTGGAAGGACGCTATAGTCAGTCCTATATTTAAGGACGGTCAGAGACATATAGTATCTAACTACCGGCCTGTTAGTCTAACTAGCATAGTCGTTAAGTTACTTGAAAAGATAATTCGGGTTAGGTTTCTAAACCACATAGATTTGCACAATCTGTTAGCTCCTGAGCAACACGGATTTCGTAACAAGCGTTCATGCTTGACTAACTTGCTTACTGCGAGGGAGGATTGGACAGTAGCCCTAGATAACGGTCTGTCTGTCGATGTGATATTCATAGATTTTAGCAAAGCATTTGGCAAGGTTTCACACGTAGGTCTTATGCAGAAGCTCACGAGCTTCGCAATAATAGGTACTGTACATGAGTGGATAGGAAATTTCTTATATGACCGCAGACAGAGAGTGAGGGTCAACGGAACGCTATCCGATCGGAAGCCGGGCAAAATTGGTGTACCCCAAGGCGCCATCTTAGGCCCTCTGCTCTTCCTTCTCTACGTTCATGAGTTACTGCTGTTACTTAGGTCGTCGACATTATTGTTTGCGGATGATGTAAAAATCTGGAGAACAATAAAAGGTGCGGCTGATCATCTGGATCTTCAAGCTGACTTAGACGATTTAGTTAGATGGGCTCGAGAGTGGGGCTTAGAAATCAATGCTAGGAAGAGTGTGCTAATGCACATCGGTCACGGTAATAATTACCGTTACACTATTGAGGGTAAACCTCTTCCATGCGTTCAAGAGCATAAGGACTTAGGAGTAATATTAAGTCATGACTTAAAAACAACTACGCATTGCAAAGTAGCCGCTGTCAAAGGTTTTCGTGCGTTATGGTCACTTCGCCGAGCGTTCAAATCTTTTGACGAGGAAACGTTTCGAACTTTATATCCCATATATATTAGACCACATTTAGAGTACTGTATCCAATCAGCTAGCCATGTCTGGTAAAGGATACTAACTCACTTGAGCGTGTCCAGCGTGTGGGAACGAAACTAGTGGAGGGTCTTTCTAGACTCCCTTACGATGAACGTTTAAAACGCCTAGATCTTTTGCCCTTGTCGTATGGTAGGACACGAGGTCACCTTATATTGGCATTTCGTATCTTTAATTATGATTTGGTTGTTAATATCTCTTATCTTTTTGTTCTTTCCAGCACTAATAATCTCCGAGGTCGTATCAAGAAGGTTCATAAACCGCGATCTAATAAACCTAAAGTGGGGTCCCGCTTTTCTCATCGAGTAGTCAATGATTGGAACGCCTTGCCCAAACAAGTGGTATCAGCCCCATCAGTGAATACTTTCAAGGAGAAGCTGGACTTTCACTGGAAAGCAGTGTGTCAGGATTAATACAGGTTCATCAACCTACCATCCTTATTACTAAAGACTAATATGTCCTTCAGTTGACAGGTTTTATTCAACAGGGATCATCTACAGACACATCAGGTCAGATTAACGTGGTGAGAACTTAAGCAACGATTTGATTGATAAGTTATGAACATAACTAACATTAAGACTGGACTAGACTACGGATGCTAACATGTTGGAGATGTTTTGTCCATAGTATTGGAATTGAATTATCTTCAATTGGTTGGTATTGTCCATTAAAACTGGGTATCTGGTTCGTGACTTAGAGCGATATCGAGGCAGTTCGCACAGGATGCACATAAGCCAACAAGAGACTGATCAGTTGCAGCCCTAAACAACAATGAGAAGATGCAAGTCGACAATACCAAGTCAATTAAACTTCACTCCATTGCGCAAGCAAGTGGCTATCAGGATTCAGTAGCTGGGTGGATAACTCGATGCCGTTTGAAGCGAATGGTACTGGGTCCGAGTCCCGAAGTGAACACCAACTCTAGGATGCATGTACACCCAACTGACGAGTCCCAAATAGGACGAAACGTGCGTCCTGGGTTCCACTGCTTATAAAACTTGTGACTTTAGGCAATATGGAGGCAGTCCGCACATATGTTAACGGGAGACTGACCAATTGCAGAACTAATAACAATGAGAAGATACAAGCAGACAATCCCAAGTGAACTAGAGCTGTACTTATTTTAAATGTGTATTGCGTAAAATTCTTCAGTTCAAACCGATTATTGGACCAAGGTATTAAATATTATCAATATTGATGCGGGAACTCTAAATTAGCTAATATTAATTCGAATTTCTGAGGGATGTTTATGCTACGGATTGTGAAATTTGTTTACTATGACTTATCCATGAGTAACTGGCTGTTTTAATCGTATAACTTCTTTCTTTGATTAAACATAAACTATCCGTCCCTTCATTGTCTATTCGTTCATATAGAACTAGTTATTTTTGTAATTTTCTGAGCTGAGGGTCGACTACTGTTGTTGCTGAATCTGTTTCACTGGATGAGTTTGTTAGTCTAAGCTGATTATCATATATTGTAGAACAATTTATTAACTAATTATATTCATCTATAAGTATTCTGCTAATCTGAGACAGTCATTTGACTTTAAATGACCTCAGGTCAGTCATTCTGATTGATCAGATATGGATTGACTTCGATTAGACAAATACACCGTCTTAGTATAAGGACTTTCAAAAGTGTACACTGACGATCACTGCACTAATGACTGAATACAGAGGCTGCTTGGTGCATCACCTATACATCTTTGATATATTGAATATTTCACATTGTAATCTCTAGTTGAGATCTCTAAGGTTATAGGCATCGAGTTTGAGGACTGACAATGTTAGAGTTGTGAATTCTTTCTTCTGAATAACCATCACCTTCAGCAGTGATGATCCCCCCTAAGCGGAAAGGGAGGTTGGGAAACGCAAACCCTAAAGACATCAGAATTAACCTTCCCTAACGAATTCCTGTTGTCGAACGTAAGATTTAGAGCGTTTGCACCAAATAGAAAAGCTGTATTACAATTAGTTGTCCTTTGGTTTTGGATTCACACTTTCAAGTCAATATAACTATCAATACTAATACAATTCCTTGAGAAAAGATATTTCTCAACTCGGGAATCCAGATACTGATCGCTAGCAGAATGGAAGCATGTCTTTACTAATAAATCGCTTTTGTTCCTATTATAGACTTTTTGTGTGTTGTCATCTCTCATGCACTACTAGTGCTAACGATTGGAGATCAAGAAGTGTAAACACCTATCTCCTAAACGCTCACTCCAAACTATGTATACTGACTTTCGCTTCTCTTTTAAAATTAGTAAAAACATTAAGACAGTGATAAACATATGTAGAATATTCACAACCATCACTTTCATTATTCTAGTGTCGTCAGCGCTGAACATGCTTTGCTTGCTGAGTGTACACGTTTCATAAATTATGGGCTCCTTTGCTTTATGATTATCTCTTATTTATTTACCCAACTTTGGTATACAGCTATTTACCTATATTAGCGCTAAACCTTAACTTTTGACTAGTCTTAGATTTGGTTGCTTTAATCCTATACAAATGATTCGGACAGTAATAAGAAGTAGTTGACTGAGTATGAACTGTTGTCGCTCTAATCGTATTTTACTTATCCAGTATGTTTGAGTCTTAAGGCTTTGAGCTATGCATAACATTTAGCCAAAACGTTGGCAAACAATATTCAATAGTCAGAGTTAAGACAACAACAACAGCACATGAATAACCGATTTTTTTATGTTAATCATTTTAAACAAACAAAATTAAATAAGAATACAATTTTCTAGAGGGAGGGGGGAGAACAAGGGTAACAATCTTATAAACTGGATAATAATATTAGTAACGTAAATTTCACTACCAAGGTGTAAATCACCTCTAATATTTATACTCTCAATATTAATATCACACTAAACTCAATTTTCTTTATGAAATGATAAACAATTTAAAAAGAAAAAAAAAACACATTTTCAAAATCAACATTAAAGGGCTGAAAGAATATTGTAAAACATTACAATAATATTAGCGAAAAAATACAACCGGGTTTGTTTTAGAAGTCACTACTATCATCAATTATAACATGAAGAGAATATTTCGAGTGAATGAAGAGGCATTTTCAAATAATAATAATAATCATACTAATAGTTTATTATTCTAACTAATTCAGATTGGGATATACTTGGAAGCACATGTTCAATAAAACAAATAACCAAAACACCATTAAACGAACACTATCACTAATGAGCAAACAATGTAAATGTAATAATATTCTAGTCACAAAGTCTTTACAAAATAATTTGAAAACAGTCTACAGATAATCATAATTTGATAATAAAGTGATTTGACAAGGAGAAATAACAAATATCTGAGATAGTTTTTCATTGATGAAATTAGAATTAGACGTTTGAATAAGATTATACTTTGAATTTTCTGTTCCATTTTAAACTTTTAGTTGGAAATTTAAAAAAGAAAGAAACACGTTATAACCGTGTTTCTGACAGTTATATTTATTATTCCCTGTCATCTGTGTAGGTAGATCAATGTGTAGTTGATGTGATCGTTTTATGTATCGAATGATGATGATATTAATAGGTTCATTTTATTCTTTATGTTAAAGTAACTCACTAGTATGTTTGTTCCATTTAAAACAATCACAAACAGAACTAAATGCATTCTTTCTCTTCTGAACACACAAACACAAATGCGACTAATGAAAAGAACAAAAACTTGTACATCATATTAAGACAAACAAACAATGCAGCATTATTTGTTCGAAAACAGTCACACGAAAAATTAGTTTCTTTTTCATCAACTATAGTTATTAATTAAAAAAAGAATATTCAATCTACTAAGAATTTCAATCTTATGCTTTTAAAATCACTGCATTATTACTATTATCATTGGTTATGATATTATTATTGTTACTGCTGAATATTTCGTTCATTTTAACAACAGGAGAATGCTCTTGAAGAAGATTTTGTGTTTCAGCAAGCCTACAATGAAAACATTGGGAAAGAATATATATATAGTCCAGTTGGTAGGTTTTCGTGGAGATCGGTCTAATTTTTAGGTTGTACTTGTCACAGACTGACCTTAGTTTCGAGATTATTGAAAACCGGAAAACCTTAGATAACTCGATTCGTCTTAGTTTGGGTCTCCTCAGGAGTGCACATCTACGACAACACCAGGGATCGAATTCAGGACCATCAACATAGCAGCGAATGCTTAACCATTAGAATCACTGGTTTAAGCTTTGATGATTCAATTCGAACTTCAAGGAGTCCCATACTGAGACAAAACCACTGATTACTGCTTTCCGGCTTTTACTCCTAGCCCAACTGAGATCAGGTTGTGACGAATACAAATTACAAAAACACATATTTATGGTTAAAATGACTAATCAAATGACTAAACATAGTTTACATAACGAAATAACATCAGCTACAAATTTACATCGGGGTATTAGACAACTGAGAGACATGAGGGCTCTGACTGTATAATGTTGGAGTCACAAACTAAAAAAACGAATGTTCAAAGTGAGTTTGGCTTTCAAGAATCCTCTATCCGGTTATAAAAGGTCGTGATGAAAACTGGCTTCAAACTACACTAGACATTTTACAAAACATCTAAGTAAAATATTAGAAATACTATGGGTGAATGCGTTCCGCTTCATCTAAATGCGAAATACTGCTGCTTCAGAACTGGTCTGCGTAATTGTCTATATTGATCATAGAGAGCGAAGTATTTCAGTACGTTCACTGGTTGGTCGGTATCTAACGAAAGCTCTGTTGGTTTTTATCAAAGCGCATTACATGTGTAGGAGGCGAGGTGTCCATCTGCCAATCGTATAAAGTTCAGGATTTGTGATTAGAGTCATAGAGAAATAACCAGTCAGTGACTGAGGACTCCAAGTAATATATCTCAGAACCAACTATCGTGGAGAAGATGTACCCACTTATTTTTCAACAGATCTCGGAAATCATATTGATCCTCAATTTTTGTGTCATTGAATTATTTTGGTAAACTGATGAATTCATTTCTTTATGCTACTTCAAAGTATAACGATTTGAACCGATGCATTTCTATTTGAGGCTGTGTATACGTGTGGCCTTAGTTTACATATTGATTTTCTTGGCTGTAAGATTTCTGTTAGTACGATAAGATCATTATGGAAGATGAACTGTTATATGTAGATTGGGAGGATTGAGCTGTGAAACATTACATTTAGTATGTTCAAACGAGAGCCCGATTGGCCACTTAGGTTTGTAACTTGACTCTCTTTACAAGTACAAGTTGGTGTACCCAGCTTTCAGTGACAATTTACATGTAGGAGTTAGTGGTAACACTGCAGCCTAATCGAAGTAGGTAGAGAGTGACTCAAACGTGTGACCAACAGACTGAAAGTCGAATGCCCAATGAATTAAGTCACCTCCTAGATTACAGCAGTAAGCATCATTAATGACTGAAGAAAGGAAAATTTAGATGACTTACATATTGGTTATACGTTCCACTTGAGCACGATATGAAGCCTCGGACTTCTGATTGATTGGAGTCTTTGATTCAACAGATTTACGTGATGAATTTAATGGTAACAAAGGTATCATCATTTTACGCTGACCACAAGAATTCTCAAATGGATTAGATGTATCATGTCTGGTAGAATAATCAGCAGATGATTTAGGACGATAAGGTAATGCCGAATTATTACGACCGAATGAAAGGGATTGAATTTCAGATTGTTGATCTAAATCGACCAGTGAACAAGTATTCAGATCAAGTAATCTAGATGATCGATGATTGATAGTTTTCAAAGAGTCAGCATATTTAGAATGAACGGATTCTGGAATTTCATTCTTTAATACAATGCAAAATAATGAATAAAACTATAAACATACTTTTATTGAAAACAGTATAAACTGATAGTCGATTATGATAATTACGTACTCTATTACAATGGATCATGCTGTCATATATATGTCCTGTACAAAAAGTTAGCACATATCTAGTATCCAATAACTTAAAAGCAGACCTTACTTAGAAAACATAATTTTCAGTCTACCAACAAATTTGACTACTATAGTTAGGATATCGTTCAAATATTCACAAGTTTTTAAACAAAGAGATAATTGTTACATTAGTAAAGCAGACATTTTGAACTACAATGTCTATTTCATCGAACAAATCAGAAGGAAATTTAATATATTTCGAATGCGACCCGGGGGCAGAGGCGAATTACAAGATTATTTCCCCTAGTAAAATACCATTAGCAATGATCTCTCTAGCATTTTAGTAACTCATTAACCAACTACAGGTTTGTGTAATAGGCTTTAGGTGCCAATTTAAGTGTAAAGACTAGTAATACCATATGGTTTCTGAAACCGAATTCCATAGAGTGGAGTTACCAGTTAGAAGCTGAACGTCCCAACCATTGGAGTCACCGCTCCATATCTCTTCAGTGTACTTATTACACGTAATTGTTAGCAAAACGGATCATCATCAAGTTTACAAACATTTTAATGTTAGATTATTTGTCATCGTGCCTTGTTACTAGATATTATTTCAATAGACCAGTTTACAAAACTTTTTGTTTTCTGAATTGATGTTATTCACCGGTTACGTGAGTGAAAAGTCCGGGAATTTCGTATTGAAGGTTTTAGTGTGTTAATTTAAAGTTCACAACATCTTTAAGTTCATAGAGTAAAAACGAATTAGAGAGTTTTCTGTTAATTCATCGACTTAAATTTTGACAGTATAGGAAATAGGTCAGTAAAAGTAACAAATGTTAGCAAAATTCTAGTTGACACACGTTTTTTACGATCGATATTTGATTTAAATAAATTATCTTAATTTTAATACTTAGCATAGTATCCATACGATAATTGCGCGACTTTGAAAGATTATTTTTGTAACTTTTTCTTACTATACTAACTTTGAGTTTCCATTATCAGACTGTCTTAATTTCATGTATATGTTATTGCTAATTGTCGTCAACTGACTACATTATTAAGTGTAATTTTTTCTTATGCGTTCACAGTTTTTTACCCTTGTTCTTCTCTGTTTCAGACTTCTTCGCACACGCTGATTTGCATGCTCGCCCTTCATAGCATATAACATGCCTTCAAGGCTGGATGTAAATTGTTACATGCTTCTATCTTATTGGAGGATCTACTCCTAGAGATGATTCCAGCCATTCAGCTGAGTTGCACATTGTGCAGTTACAGTTTTTTCGCAGATTGACAAATCAGTTAGTTGAAGAACCATTACTGAATATTAGAGAGCAGTCGATAGCTTTTTCACCCTAGTATAGGTCTGTCTTCAAAAATATGCACCCACGACGAACACATAGGATCTAAAACAACAACTTCGGGTCTAGCGAGTTTAAACAATTAATCGAAATTCAATGGTCTATATCAATAATCATGGTCAACTTACTATAGATAGCAAGATAACGATCCAACCTAATAAGTAGTAACTGACTGTTATAACGGAACGAATAATGTAAAAGTTTAAACCGGTTTTCCGAATGATTAATTATACTTTTTTATATGATTACTGAGTATCTACATTACAGTACTGATGTGTGGACGAGAATGATAATGATTGGTTATCCGCTTAGTCAGACATGTAGATAGTCTGACAGGTGTCAGATGAGTTATAGATTCCCTTATCCTTATTATTATTACGACACAATTATTATTGATTGTTCATTGTTGTTGGACTGTGTCTGGTTTTGGTGTGGAAATATATTTACGTTGTGATCAGGCTAATCACGTGTTCTTGATCTGAGTTGTGTTGAAGTCCTGTAGAACATACACTGAGAGGGAATCTAGTGTAGATAATCGTTTAAGGTAAATTAACGTCCCATACGTGTAAACGTGGAAACCCAACCGTTATAACATTAGACGAAGTAAAACCGAGCGTTATAACAAGTACTTATGTATTCATTTTATCATTTCATTTTTATTTTAAACACATAAAGATTGGCACAAAGTGAAACCAAATATACAAAGTTATCATAGAATATTTATGGGCTGGGATGCTGTTTGGGTGTGCAAACGAAAGAAGGTTTTCTAAGGGGGCCACTCACAGAGCCTTTGACCTAGAAGTCTAATCCACAAGGCAGTAGAGCGACATTAGATGTAGTCTCGTAATAACCGGCGATCAAGAATAGCTTTATGTGTCCTTCGTTTCCTCCGGATCCTGGAGACTATGTGTAACACTGGCTTGAAATCAAGATTTTCCAACTCCCCTAGGTGGATTGTCCGCACTCACTAACCCGGTTTAAGCGCCGAATATTCACTTCCCGTCTTCTCAATTTCGTAAACAACACCCCCACCGTGAGAGGGGAGTATGTAGGAATTTCTTAGCAGTGGTTATACACGCATGATCATATGGTCATATCTCGAGTGGCAGAGCGGACTCTCCCTACCCTCGGCCATATCAGATCATTTCGGGGCCTTTTAACCCAAGCTTTCGACTAACCCATAAACTACCGTCGTACGACTTACCATCCCTATTTAATTGCCATTTTATTGTTTAGTCTCCTCCATTCACAGCCACTTTTAGCTTGCTTATGCATGGCTGTTAGTTTTCATTTTATGGTGTGGTGGGGTCCGGTATGTCTGTACATAAACCACATCTGTTTGAGATATGAAGATAGTGGAGGGTGATTACTAATTTTGGATAGAGAGGAACTAACGAATAGTTGACTAATAAGAACTTAGCTGCCGGCTCAGGGACAATCGTGCTGATCGGGCGTGTATTCGGCCAAGTTAGAGACACTAAGCTAATAGAAGACCAAATCGGAACTAGGATTCTGATATGTGACTGGGCACATGACATTTGTCAATGCGTTCTGGAGATATAACATTGTTATATTAAGAATATGTTTGAATTTTACATCAGTTACGACATAATACTAGAATTCAGCCTTCTTATACTGAATAGCTTTCTTAAAAATTGATACAAGGATGTTATGTTATAAAGGAGGTTTTCTGTGATTTAGTTAAGCGAAATTTCGACTGTTAAAATCGATTAATAGAATGCTAATCGACAGATGAACGCAATGATGTAATGTGACCGAAATAATGGCTACTCGCGAGATGATTAAAGATCAAAGACAAAACCACTAGCCAGAGGGATGGATTTTTTAAAAATAATAAAATGACAGAATACGAACACAAAATAAACATGATTAAAATACTATAGGCAATTGGAAGAAAATAGTCTATATGTCTCACAACCTCTAATCAATTGAAATCTGATGTTAGAAGGAGATGATATCATGATAATTCTTCTATCGGATGTATGGACACCCGTAGAGGTCGTATTAATCATTTGACATGTCTCCAGGCTACGCAAAAGGGTTGTGATGCATTTGTGTGAAGTGCTAGCACCGAAGAAACGGATATAGCAGAAAAACAAAAAATCGCCTGTACGATTACGTAACGGCCGAAATGTTGCTTGCTCGTTACGTACCAAAATGTTGCTTATACTTCATTGTTCCAGTCTTACTAAGTGCTGAATTCAACATTTTTATCTAATTTCGCCTCTGTGTGAAAGAACCCTACAACACAGAGAAGAACATTATACAAACTATATTGTCTACGTAAATATCTCTAGACTCACAGTAATTTTTTTAAATGACATAAACTATAAAGAGGCAAAATATATATGAATATAATCTATAAATAAATAGACTAACCCGACTTGATAAGTCATAACAATTTTCATTGTATTTGTATGAATCATGGAATGAATTAAAAGTATTCGGAACATTTTTGATAGATTGATGATTATCATCATTTATAGAAATTTTCACGTTCTGACTTTCTGTTTTATCCATTATAGCTTGATTACTAGCAACTGAATAATGATAATCGTTGTTATCTTGTAAATTCAATTTTGTTGATGTTAAATATTTAGGTTTTGATAAGAAAGACTCAGATAATTTATTATTATAACTTGGAATATAACGATCTGCATACGATTTAACATCATAAGAGTTGGTTGTTGTTGTCGCCGTTGTCACTGGTAACGATGACATTACAGCATTCGTGGTAGTATTTGTTTTTGTTCCAATTGTGCACTTCGTTTCATTGAACGTATCCAACGTAGAACTGCCACTATTAGATGTGACAAGTGAATTTGTTGAGTTAATGGGCAAATGACTACTATATTTTCCTGTAACAACATGAGGTAAACTAGTAGGATTGACAATATTCCTACTACCATATATATCAATTGAATCCGTGAGTGGTTGATTTGAACCAACAGTATTCTATAGGTTAACATTTAAAAAAAAACACATACAACCTGAAACCGATAATCGCAATGAATACAAACAACAGTGTCCTTAATTAGGAAAATTAATGTTTCCTGTTTCATGTTTCTCATAAATGTTCGGGTAATAACTAACTAAGAAATTCATAGCGTAAGCTACAACCCACCATCTCAAAATCTACAATCTATCGTTGATAATGCATAATCTGGATTTATCGATTGTTCAAGGACTTTCAGTGTTCGCAATAAATTGAAACCCAGTCGATATTATCGATTAAGTCAAGGTCACCTAGTTCTATGAACGCATAGCAGAACACACCATAACACGAACATTGTTGCTGATAGAATGGAAATGAACGCTTCCCATCCAATTCACAGGAAACAACACCATCCAAAAACATCTCAGAGACAGAAATCTCAGATGGTGAATTCATACATCACAAGTTTATACAATTGCATACTCTTTTGGCTTACATAAGATCAGACCAGTCGCGTGGCCATAAAGTGCATCAGGTTCGTTTTATTGGTTTTCTTGTACCCAGTTATATTACTAGCCCTAAATTGCCATTCATGTTCCTTTTATATACCTTTTTTATCTGTATGTCTATCGGTTATGTCTCTATAAAAACCACTACGCATTCGGGATTCTGGTTGTGCTACCACACTTGGATATTAGAAACAACCGAGCTATTTTAATACGAATATTCCTATTGCGGACTCGATAACATGAAGTGTAAGAAAAACTTGATATTCAAGTCGGCAAACTTAAAATGACATAACTCAACATACAGAGCAACGAAGGCATAGATTTGACCTCCAAGTGTACAGAAAATTAGCGACCGATTAGAAAACGGTAAAGATCGTGCTCAAAATTGGATTGGAAAAAAGCACTCACAGTTTCTTCCACTAGCAAGACTTGAGCAGTATTAATAAAAATTGAGTAATCATTTGTTAGCCTTAGGACTTATCCTTTTCCAAAGTTCATTCACTGCACCTGAAATTCTATGATTTTCCTTCGCTATCGTTTACTTCTTCAGAGTAGCAATTCTTTTATAGGTTCTTGTGTCACTTCTGTATTTTCTTTACAAGAATCAATGAGGGTATCCACGGCTGTAGTGAACTCCTCTGGTCAGTCTTCTTTGGGTTTCCTGACCAAACGATCCTTGTGGCGTACATGTCTTTTTCCTTCCACAGTTACTTCAAAAATGACTACCTCTCTGACCCATTAACAAATCCCTTTGCCCATGCATCTCTGTCAATTCTGTAGTCTGGCAGTCTTTTATAAGCTGCCTGGCTGCTGTTTTCCCTTTTTGGACCATCTTATCGCATCATTTATTGTTCGCAGCCTTCATCTTCTACCAGTAACTTTCACGGTGGGGAACTGTTGTGAGGCCATGCTTGTATATAGGTAGGAACCACTGAATGGTTTCTGTTACATCTCCTTTTGCTTTCAGAACAGTTATTTTAAGTGTCCACATTCGCTCCCCACCATGTCATTCATAATTTAACAGACAAGTTGAGCAACTTGTTAACAATAATCTCATCAATTATACATACTTTTGTTAGAAAAAGAGAATGAGCTACACGTCTATATATGTAGCAAGATTAGGGAACGCCAATACCACCTACTTGCTTTTATTCAAATAAATGGATAAGTCTCTAGAACTTTATTCACTGATTCTCTGGTTTAAACCCTGCTTCATCTGTTTCGGTTTGGACAACCAAGTATTAGAATCACTAGCCCTCCCATTTAAAGTGTGGGTCAAAGCCAATTACAAGAATCTGTATCCGGTAAACGAGTTAAAAGTAGATTAGGAAAAAGAAGCTATTGATCACAAGCTAATTACCTACATTAGTGAGATGCATATATAAGGACACACACAAAAAGTTTCAAGACTAAATTCCTTTTTAAAATAAAATAAAAATGATGAATGAATAAAAAATTAGCCATAAACTTACTCCGCTATATATTCTTGAACGATGATTAAACGAACAATCAGTTTCAACATTTGTTAGTCTGCTCTCTAATTTATTTATACGTGTAAGCATACCATTCACTTTACCCGTTAATTGGAACAATGAATTCATTATATTTCGAAGATCTTCATGATTCATTAAACTAGATTGATTATCCTGATGATCAACCACTGAAGGAAGATCATTGCTACTGAATAACAAATATTCATTAGTATTATTATTGTGATCTTTAAATGATGATGAAGTACAATAATTCTCTTTTGAGCGTTGCTTCGAATTATTTGGGGCATCAAGTGATTTTATTGGCACCATTGAAGTTGCAGTCACCGTACTGACGGATCCAGTAGTAGAAGCGGTCAATTTATGATCGGATAATTTTGTACAATTTTCATATAGTGTATGAGATGTATAAGAACGTCGTGGATTGTTATTGTCAAATGGATGATGGGCATGATAGATGTGTTTATACTGAGCATATTCATTTTTGAATTTGTTATATTGATCACGTGAATTAAGATCAGTATTCTGAATATTATACAAAATAGGATTTAAGAAAATTAAACCATTTCATGATTTGTAAAACGAATTAAAAGTTCAGTGAATAAAAACAATTAGAAGGAAGAAAAATAAAGTTATTTTAGTACTTCAAATGAAGTTTTCTTAAGCAATGATTTTTTTAGTTCCAAACCTGATCGGCTGACAGATTATCAACGGTGGTTCAGTAAAATCACTCTTGACGTCTAACACTGCCAAGTTGACCTAGTATTATATCGCCTAAGATTGCATATCTCTGCTTTATTTTGTAGACGCATTTTGACGATGAATATGAAATGACATTAGTTCGAGGTACACAGACTTTCTAGCTATCCAACAGTACTGTACTTCGTTGTCAATTTATTTAGTTTAGTGTTACGATTGTAAATATAACGGATAGAGATAGGTTAATTATCAAGAAATAAACAGCATGGCTCCATGTAGATCGTATAACGCCTAGCAAACATTCTTTTCTAACTGAAATATATTCTTTCGATTTTTTTTATCATGGTTAATAGATAAACCAAAGATAGCTCCGACAGATTGCAGCCCAGATGAGTTTTACAACCAGTAAACTATTCTACAGAAAGTGCATTCGACAGATATTGTAGTACTAGCTATAAACTTGGATGCTCAATTCAGGTGTCTAGGCACAGAACAGAGTCGTTGAGGTGGTTGATGGGGACTTATCGGTTGCAGGTCAGATAACGGTGACCGTCTAATGCAACTATGCGCAGAATACAACCTGTTTCTGGTTAGCATTAACTACCGACACAGTCATCGCCGATGTGCTGCCTGGCGTTCTCCCTCTGCATCTAAAACCTGGACTCAGATTGATCATATCGCGATAAACTACCTCTGGCGTGGTTGTGTACAAGACTGCCACTCCTTTGGAGTATCTATCTGGACTCTGATCATACCCTTGTTTGAACTAGTCTTACCTTACGTTTCAGTGGCCAACAAATTCATCGTCCTAAACAGATCGATGTCAGCGAATTGGTTGCAGCTTCTGTTGTAACTAAATAGTGAGCGGACAGTAGTCGGGGAGTTTGTGTACCTTGGTAGCTGTGTAAATGCTGGTGGTGGCGTGAGATTAATTTACGTATAGTGAAAGCCAGAGCGGCTCATGCCAACTTGGAGCATCTTTGGAGCCTTCGTGATGTTAGTCTGGTTGTAAAGGGTTGGGTCTATAACACATCGGTGAGAGAAGTTTTTAAGTATGCTTGTGAAACATGGCCTCTCCGAGTTGAGGACGTTAGACGACTCTGCTGACGTCCAATGGCAAAACCATGTCAGTAATGCAGGAGTTCGGCATCGTGTGTTAGGGCACAGCAACGATAATTCAACTGGTTTCACTATCTTGAAACATCGACTTCGGTGGTTTGGAGATATCTTACGAACGTTGTCCAAGAGAATTCCACGTCGCGCACTATTTGCCGACACTGTGACTGGTTGGAGAAAGCGGAGAGGTGATCAGTGTATGACATGGTGTTGTAATATGAAAGAAAACTACACAGAGCTGGCTTCTGTTGGTCCTTCACGACTCGCTGGTTGTGGTCCTAAAAATGGTGCAACACAGTGGCTAGAAAAATTATCAGACATGGCTCAGAATAAAAGCCAGTGGCGATCCTGCTGTAACTTTCTTTTACTTCATAAAAGTAAACGTAACTTATTTGACTGAAAGAATTCTTTTTGGTTGCATTTTTGCTAACTGAAATGTTTCTCTCATTACTATCATTTCACTCTCATACACTAATTTCTGTTTGTTGTTGTTCTTCTCTTCATTATACGCACTTTACATTCTCTATCTGTTCACCTCACTGTTATTGTGTGGTGCATATGTATTTGGTGCCCTTATATATCAATGTTTACGTGTTTAAATAAATAAATTTCTTTTATTTGAAACAAGTCAGATGCATATACATACCTACATCCAGCTGAAGCTGGAACACAGTGCCTATCGCTTCAAATACGAGAACGTTATTTGTTAGTCTGTTGAATCATGAAAGCCACTTGTTCAACGAGTATGTTCACTAAAAGCAACTATACAAAATTCTAATCATGTAAATACAAGCAATATTAAGGCGTCCATTCAATAAATTTACAGATTGGTAGATTAATTTAGACAATGAATGTCAACAAAGAGAAAAATTCAATTCTTTACAAGTGATGATGAACACCAATATATAAAATAATAATGATAATAATAATACGTAAAGAAAAGAAAAACCTACTAGTGTCTTTGTCCTGTAAATCTTTGCTTCTTTACCATTTACATTACGATCATTACCACGGTTATGAGGTTCTTGTGAACATTCTCTACTTTGAACAGTTTTATTACCATTTAAAACAGTACAATTGATTTCATTCGATAAATCATTATAGAGTACAGGACTTTTTCCACTGGAATGTACAAATTTTCTACACAATTCAGTATTATTATCATTATTATTGCTGTTATCATTAGATGGAACAAGTGATTTTTCAACATTCCGCTCAATTGATCGATGGAATGAAACTCCAGGCAACACTAAAGGTATTTGTGTGTTCGAATTAGCCTTCAACTGATCATTATGATGTCGGCTCTCGTGTTGTCGTTGATGCTGATAATAATTGGAATGTATTCTATTCTTATCTTGATGTTTAATTAAGGATCCAATATGTAAAGCAACAGTGGTAGCCATTTCAATTTTACGTTCTGCAAATCCAGTCACAAAAAATTGTGCCATTGTAATCGATGGTCGATAAGAGAAAACATCTCGAAGAATACGATAAAGCACTTCAATAAATCTGCTGTCTGTTGTGCCTGAATTTATATACATATATGACGGATCAAGAAAAAAATGAATGAAGTGATAATTATGGATAATACTTGGTAAAATTGAATGTATTATTTGCCTAGTACAAATTTATTTACCTGGTTACGAACAGAAAGTTTTGTGTGTGAAGCCTAACGATACTACTCATCTTCCTGAAATGAGGTGAAGCTGTTTTCAAGCCTGAGGCTGAATAGTCTGAAGTTAAATTTTTCAATCACTAAGTCATATATGTGATAATTATATAAGAAGTAACGTGATTTACTTGTTATGAGTTTGCGTTGAGAGAAATTCCGCTGACACTGGTTTTGTCTAGGTTTACGATTTTCTAGGAGTACATGAAATCCAGTCTAGCATAGTATTTTTTAAAATTTAATCCAATTCAAAAACGCAAAAATAACTTCACAAGAATATGCACTCAAGATAATATCTACACACATAGTGTCATATTTGACAAGAAGAAGAAAACATAAATAAATTTATTAATGGTAATAATGGATGTATTAACTTATTGTAAAATCATACCGAGCATTCCAAATCCAAGTTCAACGAGGTAACTGGTGACTTTTGCATTATAATCACAGAGTAAACGCCGATAAAATTCAACAAATGCAGATGACTGACCCAACACCATACTAAAATAAACATGAAAACATGTATCTATGTATAGCATCGGTAAAATATAACTCACTAGACTGTTAAGCGTAATTATTTTCTAGTTATTAATGGTCAAATCGAATGCTATGTATTTGAAATGTTAAATCATGGACTGATTTTAATTAAAAAACTGCTGAAAACTAGGGAGCAGTAGACAGCTATTTCGTTTTAGTACGGGACACCTTGGAAGTGTAAATTCAAAACTCCATCAATGATTGAACCCCATGATCATAGGGAATTTCGGCTAGTACTTAAGGATCAGACAAATCAAGAACGGTAAAGCAGCGGGACCAGACAACATTCCAGCAGAGGTACTGAAAGCAGATGTAGCAGCAACTGCAAAGACACTCCACATTATCTTTAATAAAAATTTGGGATGAAGAACAAGTATCAAAAGACTGGAAAGAAGGAATTCTGATCAAAATATCAAAGAAAGGCGATCTCAGCAAGTGTGATAACTACAGGGGCATCACTCTTCTCTCAATACTAAGAAAAGTTTTCAACAGGGTATTATTAAAAAAATGAAGGACTCCGTAGACACCCAACTTCTAGACCAACAGGCTGGATTCCGTAAGGATTGATCGTGTACAGACCGAATCGCAACACTACGGATCATTGTGGAACAATCAACTGAATGGAATTCATCACTCTACATCAACTTCATTGACTACGAGAAAGCATTTGGTAGCGTGGACAGGACAACATTATGGAGGCTTCTTCGACACTACGGCGTGCCTCAGAAGACAGAAAATATCATACGAAATTCCTATGATGGATTAAACTGCGAAATCGTGCATGGAGGACAGTTGACAAAGTCGTTTGAAGTGAAGACCGGTGTCAGGCAAGGTTGCTTACTCTTACCCTTTCTCTTTCTCCTAATGATCGACTGAATCATGAAGAGGTCAACATCTGGGGGGAAAGCATGGGATACAGTGAACAGCTAGGAAGCACCTGGATGATCTAGATTACCCAGATGATCTGGGTAATCGCACACGCAACAACAAATTCAGGAGAAGATGGCCAGTGCAGCAGGAACCGCAGAAGCAGTAGGTCTCATCATACACAAAGGGAAAAGCAAGATTCTCCGATACAACACAGCATGGAACAATCGAATCACACTTGACGGAGAAGATTTAGAAGGTGTAAAAACATTTAAATGTCTGGGCAGCATCATTGATGAACACGGTCGACCTGATACAGATATGAAGGCGCTGATCGGCAAGGCAAGAGCAAGGTCAGTGGTTTCAGTTGGTTAAGCGACTGGCGCGAAACTGATAGGCCCTGGGTTCGAATCCCGCGAGGCGGGGTCGTGGATGCGCACTGCTGAGGAGCCCCACAATAGGACGAAACGGCCGTCCAGTGCTTCCAGGTTTGCCCCCAAATGCCTTGGTATGGCCGAGTAGGGTGGGCCCGCCCTCCCTCTCGAAATGCTCGCACACAGCCACGCGTATACAGCCTCTGCCAGGGAAGTCCTACTCACTGCTTTTTCGTGGCGGGGGTGTTGTTGACGAAATTGAGAGGACGAAAAGCGAATATCCGGAGCTTTAACCGGATTCCAAACCAATAGTGCACATGGGCTCCAGTATCCTGCGGGAACAAATGGCGTATGAACCAATCATTGGTCGCTGGCTACTATGGGACTGCATCTCCCCACGATGGTCCACTGCCTTGTAGGTCAGACCTTCAGGGTGTGGCCCCCTAAGATAACCAACTGCTTCAGTCTGGGCACCTGAGCAGTACCACAGCCCTCACAAAAGTCGAATGATTTATGTGGCGCATATCTATTTGGTGCCTCGTACCAATGTTTATGTGTTTAAATAAATAAATAAATTTACAAATGAAAAACATCTGGAACTCAAAACAACTGTCAACCAACACCAAGGTCAGAATTTTCAATACAAATGTCAAGACAGTTCTACGGTATGAACAACAATTGGATAGAACTAGAAAGGAAGGCCCAGGACAGAGTGGGTTGGAAAATGCTGGTCTGCGGCCTATGCTCCATTGGGAGCAACAGGTGTAAGTAAATTCTAAGTAAAGCTTAACCTACAGGCCCACTGAAATAGCATCTAACGTTTTACACTTCAAACTTCAGTCGATTCTCGATGTTGCAAGGATATTCTTAGTGATGGAGTGGTATCGTTTGAACGGACATTGAAAACCGCAGATAAATAGATAAGCCTACTAATATAAAACAAGCACATATAATTCTTTTTGAGACCCCATACGAGATATAAGTCTTTCAGTTGAGGTAACAGATGTGAGGCCAATATTTAATACTATCAGCCTAAATTAATTAATGATGTAATGCAACAGTTCATTAACTTATCTAGGTAAAGCCATAGGTAAGCGTACTCGATTTTCAAACGATGGGCCGTAGATTTAGACTTTTCTTTGTCTGTATCATTTCGGTTAGGTGGATAGTATCAATAGCATTATCATGAAAAGTATGGGTCAAAGGCGATTTTACATTAACATGTACTTTATTTTTGAATTGGGATGTAGTCAGAGGAACTCAACATTCTCTAATCGATATATCATGATGTCGTATTATGGAATAGTATACAGATAACATAGAATCTCAAATATTAGTGAACCAGTTCTAAGTAAGATATACATATAGTACAAAGTATTTAACAGGAGAGGAATAATGAATAGACTGATCTTATTGAGGACATCTTTAAAGTATTCACAGTAAATGTAATCTATGTGAAACTATAACCAGAACTTACCCTTGAAAATTGACATCATAACTAAACCGAATTGAACGTAGTTGACGACGTAAATTTTCGATAGATCCTTTTATATTAGGCATCAGTATGGTTCAGCAGTTTCTGTTAACCGTATTATTGCATTGAAATAAGTTCAAATCTTAAACAACAAAAAAAGAACTGTTGACGTTAGCAATTGCACTATCTTGAACATAAGCAATAGCAAGATATCAGCATTTGTTCAATTAGTTTTCCTATGTAACTAAAACGTTATTCATTTGGAATTATTATAGTTCGATCGCATGACTAGTTGTCATCCATCCTGCGATAAAACAAGCGCAAATTTAAATTTAATTTCGCTAAACATTGATAAACAAGAATTTAATGAGGCTGCATATTGAAGCAAGAACATATCACTAACAACAACGAATCATCTAGATAAGACACCAGAGAAAAACGGTAGTCAATTGACAATATGGCCTATTAGGATTGTTAAGGGTACGAAATAGTAATCTATAATTAGGGATTATGAGAATTCATGTTGGATATTCTGATGATAGAGCTCAAAATTAACCATATTCTGGAATATTTACATATATACACATTTTGTGCACAAGAGAAAAGGGATTCGCCAACTGGATATACCTCGATTCCGATTATGGAAAAATTCAAACTCTTATTTCTAAAAGTATTTATCGCTCTCAAATTAATTATTTTCCGCATTACATACAGTTAACAAATGAAGCAACTGAAACGAATCTATCTTACACTGTATTATAGATTGACTGAAGATTCTTAAGCATAAATACAATTTGCTAACGATCTACAATTAGTTTTTTGTGTAAAAAAAATACTGATATTAAGGTTAAACGACTAACTTGATTCAAAACAAAGGCAAAATAGTGGGGGGAATGCAAATTCACTCAATATGCTACTATTATTGTGTTGCTTCTTTCCAAACACTAATTGAGAATGGCATGAAATTAAACTTGCACATCATAACTCACATTTAACAAAAGAACGGATAAACGCAAGTAGGTGTCAACTACATTCATTTCACATTGGTGAGATTTAACAAGAAAAATAACCAGACAGAGAAGTGAAAACGAAGGGAAAAGCAACAATTTTACACTTTTCCTCCCTTCAAACTAACTTTTATTTCTGAGTACATCCCTCTGTACATTAATAATAATAATAATAACAATAATAATAATAATAATAATAATAATAATAATAATAATAATAATGTGTACATATGTATTTTTGCAGATACAAATACAAATTCAAACGACAAGCGAAATCAAAAACAAGTCAAAAGAAGAACGACAAATAAACGAGACCAGTAAAAAAGAAGTTCAGAACATTATTCTCAAAAAATAAATAAATATTCAAAAAGAAAGACAAATTCATTTGCACAAAAAAATTAAAATAAAAGTACATAGGTAGGAAAATAAGTTGAAAAGTAGTGCTCTTGATTAAGTATTAGTATCATTATTATTAGTAATACTCACTGACGTATAACAACAGAATCGTACTAATAAGCATCCTTAATCGCTGATAAAATGACAGAACTAACCACCTGCATAAATTATATTCGGCGGTAAAGCTATTTGGATAGTTGAATCTTCAGGATCAGCAAAAGACGTAAGTCTTGATGGATAAGGATGAATAGCATGTGGTTGTTGTCGTCGTGGTGGAGAATATTGAACATTATAGGCTGATGACGATGAACTTACGGATTTTGATTTATGAACAGCAGATGTTACTGAACTTGACTCTTTGTCATCATTCAATACACTTTCAATTGGAATACGAGTAACACGATCGGATTTTGTTTGATGATTTAGTACAGCTGCTTCTAAATATTCATCAAGTGTTCGTTCCGTACATGTTGCTATTGGAAAAAAAAGTGAAGAAAAGAGTGAACTACTACAAATAAGTGATTTGTAACATAAATACAAAACAATGTATAGGCATAAACGAGAATAGATAACCTATCTAGACAGATAACCTAATCTTCTATTATATAATTTGTTATTTATTGAATTACAAATTATACCAATCTTTAGTGAAGGTGTACAATCATATTTATTAACAGAAGTACTAAAAATTTACGGAAATTTAACATCATCTCATTGTCAAAGGGTAACAGTAAGAATGAAATAGAGTACAGAAGCGCGATATGAAATATCGTCTGCTTGATAATAAAAGAACAAATAGAAAATAATAAACAAAATACGATATAGGACAGATAAGTAAAAGTTGGATTGTTTTGTTCAAGAATATATAGGAAGGTGAAGAAGATCTATATGGTCAAGAGCTTAGAAGATTTCGAATTACAGTCGTGTTCATTCAGCTATATATCAATTAAATTGTCATAATTATTTACAAACATGAACAAACTGAACAAGTGTCACTTGAATCCAGAGCAACAGAAAAGGAATTTATACAATGAAAAATGCACTGAAATCAAGTATATGGAGTTCACACTTAAAATCAATACATACTCCCCAAATACAAAGACACATACTATAAATTGTTATGCACCCGACTACAGTTGATACATTAAAACAGTGGTCGAGCCTGCCTATATATATCACTGAAAAAAGTTAGAGACGTACTAGACAATGGACTTACTTGTGTACCAAACCATCAGACGTAAATAATCAACAAATCCAAATTTAGAAAACACAACTTACTACTGATTACATTAGTAGTAGCTACCCCAAAAAGACTAAATAATCGGTGGAAACTGAATATGAGTCAAGTTTAGGAGTAAGATGAAGTTGCAGTCTAGGTTTTCATCAACTTCTGACGAACATTCACAACTCATAATTCATTTCCAATACTTAAATATGAGTCTTATGTCATTTTATGTGTCTACTTTTTCTCCAAGATACTACTGGATGGAGTGTCTAGCAGTATAATATAAAGATTCCAACTTAGGTCCCCAACCACCGATCACGACTATCCTCAGTAGGTCAGTCAGCTACAACGTAGGACCAGGCATACATTTGAATCGATCCAAGTTGCCATACCTCATCAGCACAGAAAGGCAAACACTGGATTCATAGAATTAGCTAATTCAATGGGGGTAGTACATAAAAGAAAGATGGGATATGAGGATATAGTACAGGAAGAAAGAATTAGTTCGTAGAAAGAAAGATATGAAGTGATTTTAATCTCATAGTTTAAGGGAAGACAGAGAATGTATACATCGACGCCATTGTGATCGATTCTGAGCCATGTCACCAAGAGTCTCCAACCATTGGTTACGAAAGTCACGCGGACCCCAACCAAGTAGTCTGCATCTACCAACATGGCTCAGACTAGAAGTTAGTAACCTCAAGCACTGATACCAAGTTTTGGTTTGGCCGCCTCTAACCTTCGTCCAACCATCCCGAACACCGGTTATCATTGCACGTCGTGGTAGTCGGTGTTCAGGCATACGTAACACGTGGCCCAACCATCTCAGTCGATGAAGATTCACAACATCATCAACTGATTTACTATCGATCCCTAATACCCCGCGTCGAACCTCACTATTACTTACCCGGTGATCCCAGTAGATGCGAGCAATATTACTAAGGCATCTGTGGTCAAATACTAGTAGCTTACGAGTATCTTCTACTCTTAATGACCACGTTTCTCAGCCGTAAAGTAAAACAGAACGGACTGCCGCGCAGTATACCCTTCCTTTTAATGATAGCCGGATATCTCGCCTTCGCCAAAGGTGACGCAAGTTGGCAAAAGCCAAGAGAGCTTTTCGAATCCGTGCTGAGATTTCGTCAGACACCAACCCATTAGGGCTGATCAGACTTCCAAGATAAGTGAAGTTATCGACGCGTTCGACTACTTCACTCCCTATCCTTAGTTCAGGTGTTGACGCAGACCAGTCCCGAAGCAACAACTTGCATTTAGAGGGAGGGAAGTGCATTCCAAACATTCTGGCATTGTTGCTTAGTGCTACCAAAGGACTCTGCATTTTGTCAGCGTCTTCACCAAACAGGACTATGTCATCTGCGTATTCTAAGTCGATAAGTGGACCTCCTGGTAGGAGATCAATACCCGAGAATTCAGTCGACGAGAATGTTATTTCCATCAATAGGTCTATGATGAAGTTAAACAAAAATGGGGAAAGTGGACAGCCTTGACGAACACCACTTGAGGTTGCAAAATCAGATGACAGTTCGCCATAAGCTCTGACTCGACTAGTAGTGTTCGAGTAAAGAGCCTTCACAAGGTTTATGTACGCCTTTTAATGACAGACACTGCCACAGAATCTCGCGGTCTACCGAGTCAAATGCTGCTTTTAAGTCAAGAAAGACCACCATTGTCGGACGCCGGTAAGTATGTGTTAGCGGGACATAGACTAGATTAAAGCATGCTCAATGCATGATTGTTTTGGTGCACGCTGATTGGCTGATTCTTATCCATTCAGCACTAGTCGATAGTCGGAGAATATTCTGGAATCTTCTTATGTAAAAACTATAAATATACCGACGTTTTCCCCTATTGTGCTTCCTACTGGCTTCTGACTTGTTATTTGGGATATAATCTCTTCCTGTTCAACCGTGTTCTGATTTGGGGACTTGTCGAGTGAATCGGTGTCCGAGAACACTAAGCAATAGGAATAGCTGGGTCATTAACCGTAAGAAGAAACAAAGTTATAACAGTATGCCTATGTTCTAGAACCTGACGAATGGTGAATATGTGGTCGTACAGCCACGACCAGGTCTGAAGCCAGCTTGATTCTCTCGTGTTTGCAGTTCACGAGTCTAAGTTAGGCGTCTGATAATTATCGAGGCTAGTATTTTAGATATTATATTAGTTAAACTAGTCCCCCTGTGGTTGTCACAGGATGATTTTGACCCTCTCTTATATATTGGAACGATAAGTGATTGTGACCAGTCAGATGGGATTACGTCTAACTCCCAGATTTTAGCCAAAATATTAGTCAACCCAGTCGCCAAAATTAGACCAACATTCTTAGATACCTCTGGAGCCAATCCATCTGGACCAGCTTCTCTTCCTAGTTTCAGATTAACTATAGCCTTTTGGACTTCCACTAGAGTCGGGGGACCTACTTCAATGCTCCATTCACGCTGTCTGGGAATGGAGGGTAGTTGTAGAGTAGCTGAAGTTCAGTTAAATTGTTCTCTAAAGTATTACGGACTGAGAGCAGATAAGTATCGTCTTTTTTGAGATAGTCTCACTTACACTTGACTTATTAATTCCAGTTTCTTCTATTAGTCTAAAGAAATGTCTTGTGTTACCTACAGCCGCTGCCTTTTCTATCTCTTTTGCTTCCGATGCCCACTACTGCTCACGGTCGTTCCTTAGACTTTTGCTTAACCTGTATCTGATTTGTTTTCGCTGTCTATCGTGTTCAGAGCCTGGTGGAATGAGTCTACGAGAATCCATCAGTGTAATAGATTTAGAAGAAATCCACTGGCTTTTTGTAAACCTTTTGTTTAAATCAATAATAGATGTCTGTGCTGATTCCACAGCTGTTTGTTTATCTTTCCAAGCAACATCTGGGTCAGCCTCGTTCCCAGAGCTACCTAAGTGTGACTCCAGTTGTTCCTGAAATCTACTTTTGGCTTTCTCGTCACTCAGTTCAATTCTAGTGGGTCTTCCTAATGTGCCTTTTCTGCATCCAGTGAGGCACAAGCAAATGCGTGCTCGTATTAGAGCATGATCGGACTCTAAACATGTACTTTAGAACGAGCGACAGTCTTCTATCGAGCCTCTCCAACGATGACTGATGGCAATATGGTATATATGAGTCCATCGTTGGTTTGATACAGGGGATCGACATGTTAGATGTTTCTCCTTATGCTTAAAACTAGTTTGCTAAAAATAAACGATCGTCTGAGCACAGTTGCAGCAGACGATCACCATTATCTGTTCGCTGTGCCGGAATGCCAAAATACCCACCTAAATGTCTTTCTGCTTGGCTTAAGCTACCTACTTGGGAATCAAGGTCACCTGCTACGAGTACTATGTCTGAACGTTTAGCTTTATGGAGAGGTTCAGAGAACTTTCTGGGCTGCAGTCAGTGGGAACGTACGCAGAAACAACGAAAAGGCAACGACGTGTTTCCCTATCCTTTTCATTTCTTACGGACCCGATTACTCGAACAGCACATAAACGACTGTTAATAAGGATCTACTCTAATAGCGCTTGTTCTGCTCTCGTACTTAGTGCTATACCAACACCTGCCAGTCGACGAGAACTAGCCATTGGGTTGCCAGATACATGCGGGGTATCTCGTTGGCTCTCCATTCTAGCAAGGTGAATTCGACTGAATGAGCACACCAGGATCCTGCATGCGTGTTTCGGAGACACAGCATACATTAATAGTACGAGATTCTAGAGCCTCAGGCAGGGAGGCCTGGTGGCCGATTTGACACAGGGTGCGTACGTTGAAGGCTCCAATGTGTAGTTTGAAATGAGGTTTCAGTAGACCTGGGACAGTGTTTCGCGCACTAGAATCGTTAGCTATGGTGACACTTGAGGAGGCCAAAAGAGGAAGTTTAGTATTGAAAGTCGATTAAGGAGGAATACTAGGAATTGAAGAGAAAGGTTGATTATGAATACAGTCGTAAGGCGAGGTGTGCATTTTTAAAATCGACGTTTTCTACCCCCCCCCCCTTGTGGGAAGGCAGTATCGCTGTTATGCTGGTTGTCTTAAGGAAGCACCTTAATGCTATCACACATCTGTACAGTGAGGAGTACAACTTCGCTCTCAGACCTTGGGTTCGCTACTTTTAGCCTTACTGTTCTTCAACCGACCTGTCTGGCATGGTAGAACCTTAAGGAACGATTGTTCCAACCAGTATAGCCTGATTGGGTCACCAAGATAGGCAAGCCCGGCCACCACCTCAAGGTAGTAGCAACGGTCGAGGTGTACCTCAGTAGGATAGTTTGCATCTACTAACATGGCTCAGGTCAATAGTCAATGACCCAATAGATTGACATCGTGATTTAATGGAGCCACCCCTAGCTATCTTCCAACACACTCTTGCGCCAGCCAGCACTATAGAAAGGACACTGAATATGGATCCAAGGAGCAATCCAGCAGTCAATGGATCCCATTATTGTCCGAAGAAACTACAAAAATCCTAATTGTCCGGTTGTTATATGACAATGAGAAAATAATGGACAGCGTAAATGCTATCGACGTGCATCGACTTTCGTATCATAATAATTCGGTAATTGTCCAAATATATCTTTAAACTATGAAATATGCATTTAAAATATTGAATTACACAAAAACTTACCTATGAAACGAATAAATGGACGTACGTCTCCATCATTTGCTGTTTTTAGCAATTCATAATAAGTAAAACGATCTTCTATTTTAATAATAGCTGGAGGTAAACCAGAACGCATTAAAATCAAATTCATAAGAAGTCGAGCAGTACGTCCATTTCCATCATAAAATGGATGAATAAACACTAATTTCCAATGCGTTAGCGCAGCTAATTCAATAGGATGCATATCGGCTATTTCATCAGAACTTAACCAACTAATTAATTCCGACATTAGATCAGGTACACTAGATGGAGGTGGTGGTTGGTGATCAGCAATATAAACCTTAAAACAAATATCAATTAGTAAATAATGGGATATTTAAATTATAAACAACAACAAAACTCATATTAATATTATAAAAAACTATGTTAATGATAGGTTAATTTTTCCAACTACCATTAATTGATCCACTACTTGTCAATCCAATCATGATCAACACTAAAAACCAGTTAGTTGGTCTTAATCTTGATATAAGCTAGTGCAAAATTTAAAGAATAATCAGTCATAAACAGCCTAGAATCTTCTGCATTTTATGTGGTTGCATTGATTTAAGTTTCTACACTTTGTATTAGCATAGGGCTAGTGATGGACTGGATATAGGAAATACAGTGTAAAATAACAGAAAGAAATCGAAGACAGGACATTTTAAAGTGGTAAGCTGTTTAATACTAAGTGAAAGAAAATATTTTTTATGACGTTAGGACTAAGTTTGTGATTTTTCTAATCATAGATTACGACTATTTAGTGAATATTAACTAGAAAGTCTACACTTCATGGTCTAGTTCGAATCAATAGTTGAAGACATGAATAGCTGAAAAAATGTCTTGTTCTGATTGTTGTTAGCCCACTATCAACGTACTTTTGTATTAGTTGCTGTAGTGTGTCTTCATGAACGCTGACTAAGCATCAAATAATATATTCCGACCAATTCAGTCGACAAAGAGTCCACAACTTTTACTTCTTACTCTACAATAACATTACTTCTGTGATCCCACCTTATGTCAGTAATATATGCAAAATACCTATGATGTGATACTAGTATCTTGTGCAGACCTTCTGTCTTTAAATAGCAAGTTCTAAGGTCGTAAGGTCGTACAAGGTGTAACCACGATTTGATGAGAAGGAAGAATCATAAAACTTGAATAGGTAGCATAATGTAGTTTTGCAAATTTACTTATACTATTGTTGTAGTAATAGATGTACAGGCCTTAAGATTGATGTATCCAACTGATACGATCAACATGTACACTCTCACATTAATAGTTACAATCCCATAACCAATTAGTTGACACAGTCTAATCCCAATTTGAATCAGCTTGGAGGTAATATCTCTGAGTGGTGATACTCAGCTCTAATCAAGGTTACGGACACATCACGCTGTTGAGTGACAAAATTGTAATTGTCTAAGATTAGGGTTACATGGTGATTTCCTTCCAAATACATGACATCCTAAAAATATATCACAAAACTGTCGATGAACTACCTGAGAACGTCGTAATCTTCCAGCTTCCCTCAAATCCACAAACGATAAGAGTCTACGATGCAATTCCAATATATTGTCCAGTGTTATAGCAGACAAATCTCCACGTAAAAGAGTGTTGTTAATATATCTGAGAGCTGAATCCATACCAAGGACCTAAAATATAAAAGGTAAATTGGGCGTCAATTGTTTAATTAATTAACAATTTACTATTTCTATAGAATGAATGGTAAAGTGGTTTGAAATGATAAAACAGGATTTTTAAGTTGTTGAATGATGTACTACACAATCTTTTAATATTTAAACTAACGAGTAAGAAGATAATATAACAACGCTTAAGAATTGTATTGTTTTGTATATATTTAACAGTTGAACATTTTTTCATTCAAATATAGTTCTTAAAGCAAGTGACAAACTGATGCAAATGGAGAGTGAAGAACAATGTTTCATTGGATTATGATACCCGTAGAAAAAGTGTACTGTGAAAAGTCAAAGAGGTGACGGTTTTCTAACTAGATACAAGTTTAGGTGCTCAGCTTTGGATTTACGCATTTTATACAAGGATAAGGGGCACTATTCAGCTACCTACACCGAAGTGGGTGAAGGTGGAGTCAAAGCTTGCAACGTAGTAGGTGGGAGTAAAATATTCCAACTACTAATCTGGCATTTTGCAGTAATACGTGAAACATGCAAAAATTTCATGCATAGTCATTTAAATCGAGTAAAATATGATACATACATAATTTATTCGTGAATATGACCTAAGCGAATTTCAAAAAATACGGACAAAACTTTGGACAAGTATACGAAAATCAAAATACTTCATTTTGCTCCAATAGGCTTTTTCCACCAACAGCTAATCGTGTTTCCAAAATTGATCGAGTTTGAGCCAATGTAAGCGTATTACCCTCAATAGCATTTGAGTGATATACATGCTTGAAATAATGTTCAACTTTAGCACGACGCAAACCTGGATCACCTTCTGGAATATGATAGAACTGACGAACTTTAAAATCGATTGCATTGAGACTACGCAAAAGAGAGAAGAAAGAAGGTGAACAATCAAAACAGGGACTGTTGAAGATGTAACATCCCCAAAATACAACGTATTATAAAGAAAATCAACTTTGAAGTTAGTATATTGTTTACGATATCTTTTGCTAAGTTAATTTCTAATGCATTTTCGTTGTATTGATTGATTCACTGTGATTTTACGTTCAGTGACAACTAGTCAGTTTGATAGAATTCTGTAATCAGTAATCATTTAATAATGGATATATAATTTGAATAAATTTGAATACGATTTAATTCTTCTGAGGTTTCTATTAAAAAGCTTCTATCTAACCTTGAACTTATCATTCTAATTACCAGACAGGAAAGAAGAGGATAGAAGCAGTTTTGCTAATTGAACTTAAGTTGGAGTTGTGAAAAATCAGTCTAATGCAAAAACGTATCAACAACACAGCATGAGATCTAAAAAATATTAGTTTACATAAATTTGCTGGTTCAGAATAAATGTTTTGTGACTTGACACTAGAAGTGGATAAATTTAGGGTCATGAAAAGCAACACTAATCCAATAAAGCTGAAAATAATCCTATTAATAATTATATGAGGGATATATGAGTGCAAAATTCGAATAAATAACAAAACAAAGCACCACTAATCATCTATGATTATCATAGAACATGATAATAAGGTAAAATTATTTTTCTAGCTTTACGTATAATTATTGCTATCACTAGATTATTAACCATTGATTGTATCGTGGAGTCCTACAGGCAACAGTTGACTGTCTAAGGTGAACAGAACAATATTGTTTATATAGGCAGATTAAATACAGAAAATAGAATAAATTGTATCAAGCAGTTACACTTTTCAGCAGGATGTAACAGAAACACCATCAACATAAAAATTAAAAAAGACGGTCTGAATTGATAAGACCATAGAACATAGGAAGAGATGTTTACAACCTAAAAGACAAAAACTGAATGAATATAGGTCATTGTCATTGATTCCGATGAAACCAAAGAATGACAAAACCGAAACTTGATGTCAGTTCGTGAAGTTATTGACTGTTGTACTGAGCTGTGTAGATAGACGCAGATTACATGATTAAGGTCCACCTGAAAACGGTGATCAGTGGTTGGAAATTTTGAGTGACATATTTCAGAATAAGCCATTGAGGAGAAGATGGATTCCATCTTCATTTTATAAGTCTCAAGTCTCAATATTTTTTGTACTTTTATGTCTTCTAATTTGTTCCTTCTTTTTGAACTGTATTAGCAAGTTTTTAATCTTTTCAACGATCATTAATACTAGTATAACTTCGACCCTTGATATTCATCTTGATAATTCTGTCTCGCTGTGTCAATCATCGGTTGCTATCACCTCGTGGCCCCCAACCAGGTAGTCTACACCTACCAACATGACTCAGTCCACTTGTCAGTGACTTCATGGACTTGTGCCATGTTTTGGTTTGGCCGCCTTTAGCTTTCTTCCAACCTACTCCTATACCACTGAACATAGCACGTCGAGGTAGTCGGTCGTTGGGCATACGTAACACGTGTCCCAGCCATCTCAACTGACGAAGTTTGACTACTTCATCAATTGATTTGCCATCCTTACCTAGTACCCGTTTCCTAACAAATGTGTTACTTACTCGATGGTCCCATGATATACGAGCAATGTTTCGAAGACACCTATGATCAAATACTAGTAGCCTACGGATATCCTCTACTCTTACCGGCCATGTTTCACTGCCATAAGGTAGGACGGAACGAACTGCTGCGCAGTAAACACGTCCTTTGGTTGATAGACGGATATCTCGCCTACGCCATAAATGACGCAAGTTGGCGAAAGCTAGTCAAGCCTTCTGTATCCGTGCTGAGATTTCGTCACACACTAAACCACAAGGGCTGATGAGACTTCCAAGATAAGTGAAGCGGTCGACACACTCAACTACTTCACTCCCTATCACTAGTTCGGGTGTCGATGTAACCCAATCCTGAAGCAACATTTTGCATTTCGAGGGGGAGAATCGCATGCTGAACATGCTTGCATTGTTGCTTAGAGTGGTCAGAAGACTCTGCATTTTGCCAGCGTCTTCACCAAATAAAACTATGTCATCAGCATATTCTAAGTCAACAAGCGAATCTCCCGATAGAAGTTCAACTCCTGGAAATTTAGATGAGGAGAGTGTTATCTCTAAAAGTACGTCAATGACAAAGTTGAACAAGAATGGAGAGAGTGGACAGCCCTGACGAACACCACTTGAGGTAATCAATTCTGATGACAGTTCACCATAAGCTCTCACTCTACCAGTTGTGTTCGAGTAGAGAGCCTTTATAAGGTTAATGTACTTCTTTGGTACTCCTTTCAGTGACAAACACTGCCATAGAACCTCACGATCTGCAGAGTCGAATGCCGCCTTAAAGTCGGGAAATACTACGATTGTGGGGCGTCTGAACGAGTGTCTGTGTTCTAGAACCTGACGTAGTGTGAATATCTGATCTATACAACCACGTCCAGGTTGAAAACCGGCCTGGTTTTCTCTAATCTGCTCTTCACGAGCTTTGATTAGGCGTCGAAGTATCATTGAAGCTAATATTTTAGACACTATATTAGTCAAACTGATTCCTTCATGATTGTCACAACAGGAATTTTGTCATTTTTTATAGACTGGCACAATTAGTGATCATTCCAAAAGTTTGAGGCAGAAAACTGCAGGAAACAGATGCTTAGATCGCCACTAACACCAACAAAATTGGACCCGCCAACAAGCTATTTGAGTTAGGAAATATGAGGTTCGGAATATTCCTCTACGATATGAAAGTACGGCATATTCCTAACAGATGAATAAACCTGCACGACGAAATTGCCTTTAATATCAAGCATAAAAACGTTTTATGTTTTTTTGCTGTTTTATCTAGAATGATATGCATCAATTGAACATGAGAATTTTGTTAGGCAACCATCACAACTAAGTAAGAGGAACAGATAACGGTAGTATTATAGACTAGGAGGCTGCATTTATTTTTGTATCACTTTGAATGTTTTAAGGAATTTAGTAGATCAAAATGAGAGGAAAATTATAAATACCAATGTAAGCTAATATCTTGACCAGTACTTCTTCATTTTAAAAACAAAACCAGTTACTTTTTTCATAACAGGAGTCTATTTTTGTCACTACGCCGACCCTATACACAGTTAGCACATGGAAGTTCTAACAAGAAAGTCACCGGGAAACCGTTTCACCTCAAAATGGTTCAGATAGGTATTGACACTCTATTAACATATGACTGAAGCAAATTACATTATTCCTCCCACAACGTGAGTCCCACAAACTTGTTTATTATAAAATTTCAGATTTGAAGGATGTATACAACTTCCAGACGCCATATTATAAGGAGGATCTTCGTTCAAATGCGGACACACACTTTACAACGCGACTGTAGATAAGTTGACCAGGCAGTTGTCTTCAGGTTATTTAGATAGCCTTAAAGCCCAGTATGTATACTGTACCTTCAGTCCAAAGATCTGGACTTGACTACCGAATCCGAATAATTTATTCATATAAAAATCTTCGCGAAACTATAATTTATAGACAAATCAGACATATCTAAGATAACAGGTTTTGGATTTTGACGCGAGGTCCGACAACCCATTTTACTAAATAGCGTTTTGTCATGTCAGTTCGTGATGAAAACCCTAAATCTAATTCTTAACCTCTAACCAATAACTGCAAATCATAATTTTATTTCCTCACACTGGTTTACAACCCTCATTCAGCTGTGCTTAGAAGGTGGACATCGTCAAGGCCAATTTAGCTTCGCTCAAAGGTCGTCCATAAGTTATAGTTTCAGCAAAAGCTTTTATCAAAGACAAGAATCGAAAGTACTTACATTCGTTGATCTATTTCCTCCACAATTGGCATCAAACGTTCTCGGTGTACACAAGCTTTAGAAATGGTGGGGTCAACAATCAATGCCTTTGTATAAAGATGTTCAGCAGTCAAGATAAGACCATCAGCATCATTGTTTGGTACTTGGCCATAGACAGGGATCAGAGACTTCGTTAAAGGAAGAGCAACATGCGGGGTAGATTTCCCATAGTAATAAGAACTCTCTATAGCTTCACCCAAAGCAATTAAGACATCTATATTGTCCGGGTCAAGTTTGAATGCATGTTCCAGTAGTTTCTTGGCTTTCGCAAAATGACCAGTAGCCTGTTGTAGTGAAGCTGCACGCAGAGATTGTAGAGCTTCTGCTTTTTCACCTGAAATTGTGTTAAGTAAGGAATAACAGCTCACTTTCTGAGGGGACAACGCGGGTGCGCATTAGTGGAGGTAAATTGAATTCCGATCTAGCCTTTTTGTAGGTGTAAATTATATCTCTCACCAAACGCCTGTAAATATATTCCCCACCTGAATCTTGATACTTAGGTTCGCTTGTGAGGAAAAATATCTTCCCAGCCTTTCGAATATCGTCTAACCGAAAGATTAAGTGATAGATGGTGGATGACTCGTAAAGCTTGGTGACGTTCAACTTTTTGTGAAGAGTCAGTAAACACCCTAGTAATGAATTCCAAAACTCAAAGGGAGTTATAGCCAAAAACAAAGCGTTAAGGCTAATCAAAAACACCATTTTTTTCGTACACCCTATTCTCATGTGATAGGTCACTTTATTCAAAAAGGCCGGGAAACAACAAGAGCTCGTAAACACAAGCTATGGCAACAACTTCCAATTATCAATACACTAGGATTCGGACTACGACATGTACATTAAAAATAAAGAGCAGACTTAAGATCTTAGTCCTCTTCTCTTGAGGTCACACTAGTGTTCTATATGTTGAATGGGTCATAGGAAGATAAGCAGACCAATTTACACGATAATATTTGAAAATTCAAATATTATTTGGCAGTATTAAGTAATCATTCTTTTCCTTGCATCTTAATTCAGGTTATAGAACGTGGTTTTTTATAATGCAATTATTCGGCTCTTCATACGCAGAGTTTTCCTTATTATTTTATTATTCTGTTTCGTGCCTGAGATCGAAGGGTAGAATAAGTCGGTTATTGTTTGTCAAAGTGATCGTGAAGTGACACTCACAGTAATCACCTTCGATATCTAGGCCGTTAAACTATACGTGATAAGGAAGTATGGGACAAATAGGTTAGCACTAACGTTAACCACTTGCGATCTGCGTAAACTGATATTTAGGAGGAAGTTTCTATCGTTTCGGTTGTAAGTCTTAGTCAAGTCTCTTCGATGAGAAAAATTAATATTTCAGCCCATCACTCCTCTCCAAATCCTAAGATCACATGGACACGATAGTTTGGGGGTCTAGAGTACTATGTGAGACGCTAGTAAACACTACACTTGCCGTTGATGAAAAATCTGATAGATTCGAAAGGCCGCTGGTAGTTTTTGATCCTTTTATACGTTGTTCACAAGTCACATTGTTAAAAACTCACTAATCTTCAGTAGCTTGGTTTGTAGGTTTGGAATTCTTCGACCAGTCACGCTGAGTGCCTTTGAGGAGTTTGAATGTCTATGTGAACAGAATGTTTGTGTTCCGTTGATAGAGTCCAGAAACTCCAGGTGTTCAACAAGCTTGCGTTTTACTAAGCTGCCCGAGAGAAAATTATGTCGTGAACAACAAAGCGTTTTCCATCAGCCGGTATCAAATAAATTCATTCCGAACCCTTTGCATGACTTTTACTGACGCGGAGAGCAGGACCATTGGTCTGTAATTGAATGTTTCAAACTTCCCATCCTAACGTATACGAGCATGATCACACCTAAGTAGCTGTTCTTTGTAGTTTTCATAATACCTGAGTTACATTTTATACAGGAGTCTGTAGAATTTCCCATAATGGATTCCACAATTTTGACCAGAACACCAGTGTGTCTACACATATTTGAAGTACATGTACAACAGCATTGCCTGCAGCCATATAATATTTATGTCTAGGCCGGTATTAGCACCGTTATCTATAATACTATAATAATAAACCTGGTCAAATTTCTGAATTTCCCACTATGTGGTTACATAAATTGTTAGGCCTTACTTGCACCTTTTTAGTGATGTTTGTAGTAGTTCTTCAAGATTCAGTCCCATACAGTAGAACCGTCTTCACATTCTAAATGAAGATTCTTGCTTTGATGTTATTGACAGATGTTTTGAATTCCATATATTCTACAACTGTAGGAATGCTGCCCTTGCTTTGCCAATCCTTACCTTAAAACCTGCATTGGATCTTTTTTTATCTTCGATGATGTATTGCTCCACCATCCACGCCTGGTCGCCTTGTAAAAACTACCTGTTTTCGTATTAAATATATTATGCCAACCTCAGATGACATGTAACTCTGTAGAACTATGGTCTACTATGATATTAGTACTGCTCTAATAATAGACCTAATCCTAAATTTGTAGATTCGTCATGATATAACTGCCTAATCTATAAGATCTTACGTGGAAGTCACACCATCGACTACGCCAACTCACTGTATCGTATCAATTACCAATACATGATGAAGAACAAGGTTAGGTTAGAGAAGGAACAATATATTTAATATGAATAGAGACCACGCCTGCATGGCCGAGCCATGCCACTCGATCAACTCCAGTCCATTCAATTCATTGTTCGCGCCTTCTCCATTGTTAGGTATTTCCCCGAGTTAAATATTGAATATCTATTTTCTGAGTAGTCTCGTGTTCACAGATTTGTGGATTGTGTGGCTATTGTCCAATGCCACTACACTACTCTCCCACCAGAATCAACGTGATGTTGGTTCGATACCAAATTGGATGGGATCGTCGCGCACCGGAGGTTACCAAGAATAATAAGAATCCTCCGGGTATTGGTAAGCTGAAAGATAAATCAAAAAGAAAGCGGCAGCATCTGGTCGGGAAATACATGTAATAATTTTAAAATATCTGCCTTCATGCTTAAAACGCTTGAAATGAAAATTTGGGTGAAGATTATTTGAACTATAAAAAATGAGATTATAATAATAATAATAATAAAACGATGCGTGTTAATAACTTAACTTATAGGTAGTAATTATTTTGTGTTTAGAAATATTAAAATAATGAATATTGTAGAAATGTTAATATTGGTATTAGTTTTGGTTTAAATTATGAAATCGGATAACGATTATGCCGGTAAGTTGTCCATAAGAGTTGATTTCCAATTGCATCTGTATCAGTAGGCTAACTGAAGGAACAAAAGTATTACCATGGTAAAGAATTCCAACTAGTGTTCCAGTTAGTTTGATACGGTTTATTTAGTTACGGGGAGATTTTCTCAACCTCATTTTTACTTGACCGTGATAGAATCTGGTAATACTACTAATACACATGAATGGTTACCAAAATAAAATTTAAATACGTGAGTGATGATTATATGAATTTTGGACAGATAGCTAGGAACAAATCGTTAAACATGAGCGTATTCGTAAGAGACATGCTCTAGACTCAATGTTCTGATCTGTGGCAGACTATTTACTTGTATTTATACTTGCCGAGTGATTGGACATACAAGTTAGTTGCAAGTATGCAGTTTATCATAAGGCGGAACACGATTTAATTGAGATATAGTGGTTACAAGTTATTAAAATCAGTTAGACCTGTGTCATATTACGAAGTGATGTGGTGCTGCAAAATGTATTTAGCTAAATAAGTTTTTACAAGATGATTAATAGTGAGTGATGCTCATGTGATTATCAGGGAGAACATAAGTTGTAACCAGGGGGAGTACACTCCCAACTCATGTCTATGATAATGGCTTGAACCTTAGTCAGTGTTGGGGTAAATTCGACATTGATGTTTTCAGTTTGCAGGAGATTTGCTCGACTGCTTATACTGATTATTTGCATGCATGATTGTGTCGCTAAACCATCAATTAGACTGACAAGGTTTTGAGATATTTACTGAATGAGCAACTGATAGAGAAACATACTGTAATCATCTGTGATGGGTGAAGATACCAAGAAAACAACACCATTTAATGGTAATTATAAGTCAATTTGTTGACCGATTTCGTTAATAGTTTCATTAATTTTATCAGTCATATTACGTGATTGTCAAGTTATGACAATGCTTTATGACGATATCCTGAAACTATTAAATTTAACTAGTTATAGTGTTGATTAAGGATTAGTCAGTGGAAAAATAGGTATTGTTGCTTTAGGTGATTCAAAATCATCAGATATTTATAACGTTAAAGAATCCGAGACGCCTAATTTAATTATAAATTTTAATTCAGAAATATTCGTTTAGTGTTAATCCTAGTAGGCTACGGAGTTTTGATTTTAAACGTTTGTTTAGCCAACAGCTACTTGGGGATTTAGTTATTTCACTAGTGCAGTTGATAGTACCTAAATTTTTAATCTTATTATCTAAACTATGTTCGCATTTTAGGCTGCTAATATGATAAACCAATCCATAAACCCAAATACGATTAGCAACAACGACTATGATGGGTTTATTGATAAATGTTAAAGGCGATCCAGATGATTTCTAAATTTATAAGACATGGAGATATAGTGCAACGTATGTATGGGCCAGGTTAACATGCAGGTTGTTGACGTATATGACGATTTAAAAATAATGAACATGACCAGAAAATAGTTTTAAAGTTTAGACTGCTTGTGAAACTTCAGGCAGGAATATGATGCGTTATAAACATTCCATAAGAAGTTACTGCATTTAGCCTAGGGACACTTACAAATATATAGCAAAAGGAACCGGAAAACATATACATGTTAAGTAAAAAAAATCATCCAGTAAAATAGTTGAACTCGCCTGGATTATTTTTGAAAATTAGATTATTCAGTGGACGACATATATAACGCCATTCGTGAGGAGTAGTAATGATCCAAAAGCATCCAGAATAAAACATACAGTATGGCAATCACTTCCAGGGTGCTTGATGCTGTTGAGGTCTTTGTGACTCGCTCTGATCAGAACAATTGAATGAATCCAGATAATTGTGTGTGCCATCTAAAATGAACTTATGATTGCAGGAAACTTATAGTAGTCATCCTCGTTGTTTGGCAATGGAACTCGTGAATATGAAATTAGGCAGGCAGTGGTCAGAAGAAAAGATATTACAGGATAGTGCATCGTTTAAAACAGGATGAGGTGTTAAGTGAAGGAACACTGAGAATTAGATCCAGATAACTATTTAGTCCTTGATCGCATTGTTAGTCAATGTATATTTACGCTATTTACAGGTCATATTTGCTAGAGCTTGATGTTTAAACAAGACTATGTCGCTGAAGCATGTAAATGCTATTAAAGCTTGTTAACAAACCATCAAAGCTAATTAGTTAAGATAGACGACCAGTTTTTATTATCGATTGAGCTAGTTTGTCATGAGGACTAATCAATATAACATTACGATAATGCATGTGAGCATTAATCAGAGGACTATTAGAATACAGGGTTAACATAAATATAAAATCGATCGAGAAAGTTGAAGTGGAAATAAGGATTAATAATAATAGGTTGCGTTTTTTTAGTTGGGCTCACCAATGTAGAACTATGGTCTACTATGATATTAGTACTGCTCTAATAATAGACCTAATCCTAAATTTGTAGATTCGTCATGATATAACTGCCTAATCTATAAGATCTTACGTGGAAGTCACACCATCGAC